GCGTGAAGACGTTAGTTTATGACAGCTTAAAGCATTTCCTCTCTGGCGAATGTGCAAAGGGACTCATTTAAGACCAAAATAAAACCTTTAAGAACCAAAGCAATAAGTTGCTGATAAAATTCAGGAACCTGGGAAACAGAGAGGAAGGGAGGGATATTTTTGACTGGAGCCTCTATTGATCACCCCTTAAGCTTCACTCTTCAGGTCACTATCGATTCTAATTTTTTTTCTAAGACTGGGCTTCCTTAAGGGAAGTGAGCACAGACCTGCCGCCTTCAGCTTGAACATTTGGGGCTTGGCTGAAGTAAACATCCAGCTAAAGAGGTTGAGCATCTGGGCCACTTCATTGCTCCTCTCCTCCCCCCCCCCCCCGCTGCCCCCTTCCCGCACACACACATACTACTGATCTTTGCAGAGTTCATTCTTACTGAGACACTCCCAAGGAACCAGGCATTGGGAGCTGACTCTCCCATTCTCCTGAGAGTCTTCAAAGTCACTGCTGTTTCAGGGAAAGTTGAGGGAAAATGAAATCAATAAAGATTTAGATTTCATATGCTTGCAATTCCCAGTCCCAGCACTGGTGCTGAGCTGCATAAAGTAGCAGAAATGGCTCTGAAGAGAGGCCCCAAGCAACTTCTTGTGAATAAACAGGAATCTTTGGGAAATCATTCAACTTCTCTGAATCCTCACGTCAAACGAACAGTGTGGTGAGTAGATGTCCTATTTCACACACAAGAATGCAGAGATCGACTCTGATACGAAATGTATAAATGTTTGGAAAGCACAAAGTGCTATTCAAAGCTATGAATTTTAATCTTAGCCTTTGCAAAATGCATGATGAGATAGATGACACTGAATAGCACTTGAGATATTTTCTAAGCTCCTTTCATGTCAGAGACTGATAGTTTTCATCAGTATTAATTGTCACATTGTTTCTTTAATAATAGAACCCTCACATTTATCACAGCTCAGCACTATGAAGAATAAAAGCATTTTTGGCCTTCTTTGAAGCCAGAAACATGGCTCGCCAGGTTGCAGACCAGAGATGCAATAGCAAGTGATATATGCAATTTACCTTTCCTTTCTCACTGATGAAGTGTAATGAATAAGAGGGCAGGAGCTTCAGCAGTCATTTTTGTTTCTTTTTGAGTCACACCCGGTTATGCACAGGAGTTACTCCTGGTTCTGCACTCAGGAATCACCCTTGGCAGTGCTTGGGGAACCATATGGGATGCTGGGAACCGAACCTAGGTCGGCTGCGCGCAAGGCAAACACCCTACCCGCTGTGCTATTGCTCCAGTCCCTTCAGCAGCCATTTTGGACCATGGGATGAAGGTGCACATTAGAGAGAAAGAAATAAGAGAGGGTCATGGCACACACCAGTGCCATCAAATCAGTTTTTCTCTTTAAGTAAGGGAGAAATGACTTCGATATCAATGCAGTCACTGTTACTATTAATTTCTCAGCTCAAGCAGTCAAATGAGAATCCTATGCAATGGACTTCAACTTGCTTTCTAGTGATCTGGGCTTCTCTCCGGGTTAGGTTCATTAGGAAGACTTTCTTTCCTGAGATTTTAGAACAAGTTCTCATATTTCAGACTTTTGATCAAACTACTTCTGACCTGCCTCAATTAGATACCAGGGTTAACATCCCTAACTGTGGCCCGATAATGGTATCAATTATTGGAAAGGTTTTCCAACTAACTCTCAGGGCAGATTTCTACAGTTCCTAAAAATAAGGCCACCAAAATAGACATAGACAGAATAGATCATCTGTGTTTCAGCGTCTCATAATAACTTAACCTGTTCTCATACACACAATCCCCACGCACCTTCCCCAAGGATATTTCATCCCCATCTTGTTACTGGGGCTGTGACTCTCAAGTGGAGGAAAGAAATGTTTACCTGGGCCTTTGAGGCATCAGTGACTGTGAAACTTCCCAGGGACTTTTATTTTTATTTGAATTTTCAGCTTCATTTTGGACGATTAGCAGGAAAGTGTCTGGAACTGACTTGGTTTGGGATGGCAGGGTTACTGACGTCCCACGGAGCCCGAGGCCCAGCTGTCTTGTGCTGGCAACCCCTTCTCCAAGCTTCCCTCCTCGTGGAGGTGTACAGTCGATTTTTTTTTTTTTTGAGAATGAACTGCATCCCTCCCTCTCCTTTTCCATCAACACAGGCCCCCGGGGAGGTGACAGGCATGCTGCTTTCGAATGAGATGATATGTGAGAGGAAGCCCGTGTCGGTCTTTTTAATTTGCTCCGCACTGGCCTCAGGCCAACACAAAGAGATGGTTTCTCCTCTGAACATCCTGCTCTCGGTCTCAAGTGGAGCCCCATACATCACGCCTTCAGCAGCAAGACTGCGGAAAGCCTTTTGATAAAAATCCAGAGGGGCCCAAGGAACAGTATGAAGTTAGCAGAGGCTGCCTCCAAGACTCGGCTAGGCGCGCATTCCCTTCCAGCAACGGGAAGTGAGTTTCAAAGAAACAATCCAAGTGCTTTCAAACTTGTTTTGATTTTGCACATGACAAAACACGGGGGAGATGCGGAGAGGGGAAGGGAAGGGAAGGAGAGAGAGCAAGAGAGAGAATGAGAGAGAAAGAGTAAGAGAGAGAGAGAGAGAGAGAGAGAGAGAGAGAGCACTCATTTCATTAGCAGAAGCTGAAGCATCAGTTGCAGCCCTGGCATTCCAGGCAGAACATTACATCCTAAGACCAAGATGTGCAGTGAGAGCTAGAGAGGTTCTGATTAACCCTAGTGGCCCCTCTCTTTCCTTCCCTCCTTCGAGAAGAAAGCATGCGAAAAGATGAAAATGTTCTCACCTCCTCTAACCCAATCTCTAACCAGATATATTTCCTTGGGCATTTTAACACCCGCTGTCCCCCATCCATACTGCCCACCCCACAATTGCCTAAAAAGGCACTGCTTTCTCTGTTCACCCTGGGCTGTCGATGTGGAGAGAGACTATGAGCCTTAGGCAGGGGGGCTCAGCTCTGGGCACTACTGACTGGGTTAAGACAAACCCTCCTGGGCTATAAGAACTGGCTTCCTGCATAACTGGGGAGAGCTTAATCCCAGTGAGGGCATGATGGACTTGAAACACCTGCGTTTTGCAGTCAGCCAGAGAAAGCTTCCAGCCCTCAAGAAAACTACTTACTGTCTGTAGCTTTCACTTTTCTCACCTGTCCAATCAAGAGATGTTAGGCACAGGGGTGACCCCCCCCACCCCAGTGCCACACTATTCTCTCCAATGACCGATGAAGCGCCAGGATGCCACCAAGTGGCTACTCCTGGTCTCTCTTTGATAGACACAGGGTGACCCTTCCTGCAGGCAGGCGCAGATTGTGTCTTACATCCAGAGCGGGCATTCCAGAGGCGGAGATGTGGCTTATGTAAAGCTGGCTTAAACGTCAAACATGCTGGGTATCAATGAAATGAGCTTTCAATCTGATGTAGGGGGTGCGCTCACTTTGCCTTCAGCTCCTTGAAGGGTTTCAATGCTCAGTCTGTTGCGAGACTCTCATCACTCTGATCCTCTCCCTCAATGCCAAGGCAGGGTTTCCAATTCCTGCCCTCCTTCTGGTGTCGCCCCTTAAGAGGAGAAACTGCCGTGTTCATGCTGTTCAGTTGGGAAAGGTGAAAATACAAAACAGTGGTCATACATATTTTCTGTCATCAGGTTTAGACACTCTTGCCTATTTTGCTGGCAGTGAACACAGTCTAACAATGGGAAAAACCCTCATAGGCAGGAAACAGTTTGTCGGTCTAGAGAGATGGGGGCTGTCGGGAGGCAGAGTTGATCTAAACTCCTCTGATTAACTGTCTCATTGAGTTCCCTGTCTCCTGACCTGAATCGGAGTAATTACTGAGTCACTGACCTTGAACGTATTTGAGGTCCCTGCTACCTCAGCTTCTATTCTGCCGGCCACATTCTTTTGAACTATCTTTTCCTCTGTGAGAGCAGAATTTCAAACCAGGCGGTACCACTATCAAAGAAGACGACAGATCCCAGAAATGTGAAAAGTGGAAAGATGCCTCAGGAAAGGGAAGGTTCTGTAGTCGGGCCAAGCTGTCAGACACGAAGTCTCCCCCCGTCTTTTCCTCCCTTCTTAGAGCTTCCATTCCTTGCTGTGAAAGCCCCCAAACAGGAACCTGCACTCTCCTGAGATACAGGTAGTAAGAAAGGGTTTCTTGCATGCCCTACCCAGGTGCCTTTCTTGGGGGCCATGCAGAGCCCCCCTCAACTGCTTCCACATTCTGTTTCCCAAACCTGGGCAGGAAGTTGAGCTCAGGCTACAAGGCAGGAGCTCTGCAGGGCATGAGTCCTTAGTAAGAGTCCATAGGAGTGGTGATTTGGCTTAAAAAACAAAACAAAACAAAACAAAACAAAACAAAAAACCCAACAACCTCAACGACAAAGCACATTACTCTACTTAGCAATCTAAACCAGACTCAGAGTTTTAAGTCACAGCCAGGTGGTGAAGGAGCCTCGACCTCCTCCGAGGGCCGACAGAGTCCTTCTTTTGCGCTCTCCCTTTCTCTCTCTCTCCCCAAGGCAGCCTTCCCAGCACAGAGACAGGACGCCACAGACCAGTTTCAGCAGAACCTCCAAGCCATCACCCGGCTTTTCATGCGTGCCTGCTTGCAGTGCCGTTTGTTTGCCTGACCACGCCACTGCTCAGGAGCGGGTCTCTTCTGGAGGCCTTCCTTGCTGTTTGTGACCTTCTAGAGGATTCTCCAGTGGCGTTAGATGCCTCCATCCCTCCTTATTTCACCAGGAGGGAAAAAAAAGTCAGGGAAAACAAGAAGGACAAGACGCATCACCTCCCGCTGGGAGAAAGATGAAGACACAGAGGAAGCTGGAGGCCAAGTCAAGCCACAGTCACCCAGATGTTCCAGAAGCATCCAGCATTCTCCAAGGAAGACGGGCAGCAAAGGTCCAGGTGCATCCTCCCCCAGCTCCAGAGGGAGGAGAGTGTGTGTGTGTGTGTTGGTGCTGGTGGTGGTGCTGGTGGGTCACCATCTTACCACCTGGCTGTTGTAGTCCTCGGTGACGGCTCCCTCGGGGGTCCCTTCCCCTTTGGGCCACCGGTGGGCGCGCTGTGCCCGCTGCAGCCTCCTCACCTCCAGCCGCCGCTGCCGGTGGCGCTGGTGCTCGCGCTGCTTGGTGTGGTGGTACCGCTGCTGGAAGAGGTCCTTGGCATACTCATAGAGCTGCACGTCCAGAAAGTTCAGCTCCTCGATGCGCTGGCGGGCCCCCTCGTTGATGTCCACATTGGACGCCCGCGTGATGTTGAACTGGGTGAAGGGGGAGATGAACTTGAGGTTGAATGTCCTCTCGAAGAGAAACTGGGTCTTGCGCTGGAACTCCGTGAGCCCGAAGAAGGCCATGTTCTTCAGGTTGGCCTTGGCGCTCTGCAGCAGGATGGCACTGCGCTCCGTCTCGTTCATGAATGTCAGGTTGTAGCAGCCCACCAGGCTGAGGTCGGCCAGCATGCGCACCTGGCGGTTGTTGGCCAGGTTGTAGGTGCAGTCCATAAACTCCCGCAGGCTCACCCCGGACCAGTCGTCGCCCGGGTAGCAGGTGGGGAGCTCGTCCGGGGTGGGGCTCCGGCCGTCGCACATGTGGAGGGAGGTTTTCCACGTGGCGCCTCTCTGCACGTGCTTCCATTCACTCAGGTATCGTGACACCGGGTCCCGCAGCATGGTGATGTAATAGAAATTCCTGGAAGGAACGAGAAGGGAGAATGTCAGCCACGGTTGATCCCAGGGCCGCGGAGATGCTGGGCATCAGCCACAAGTCAAGAGGGTGAAACACAAGTAAATGAATCCCACCCAAGGTCCATTGAAACAAGGGCCAGAAGGACTGGTTCATGGAAGGAAGCTTGCCACAAAGAGGGGGAGAACAGCTAGGACTGAAAAGGCACCTGATGATGATAGTTGAAAATGATCACTCTGGAGGTGAAGTGATATGATAGTACTGCAAACCACAGTGCCTAAAAGGAAGAAAGCAGAGAGAGAGAGAGAGAGAGAGAGAGAGAGAGAAGAGACAGAGACAAATGGAGACAGACAGAGACAGAGATAGAGAGACAGAGAAGACAGAGTTAGGGAGAGACAGGGAGAGAGAGGGAGAGGGAGAGGGGCAAAATGAGGGAGAGATGGAAGGAGAGAGAGAGAGAGAGAGAGAGAGAGAGAGAGAGAGAGAGAAGAAATGCATCTGCCATAGAGGCAGGTTGTGGTAGCAGGGCACAGGAAGGAGGGTGGCAGGGAAACTGGGGACAAGGGTGGTGGGAAATTGTACTGATGAAGGGATGGGTGTTGGAACACTATGACTCAGACTTGATCAGGAACAACTTTGTAACTGTGTATCTTACAGTGATTCAATTAAAAAACAGTTCTTGCACCAACCTCTATGGGGGTGGGCTTGGGGTGGAGATGTGTTGGTTTGACTTCTCCCTAGGGGCACAGACTCCTGAAAGCACACCTGAGCTGGCTTTAAGTATGAAACCGGTTGGGCTTTTTCATCTCCTGCACTTGTGGTGGGTGGAAGGGAGGAGGTTTGGGGAACAGAACATTCAGCTTTCAGCAATTTCTCGCTGAGAAATGACTGCTGGCAGTGACACCTTTCATTAAACTGTGCATCACTTTTTGAAAGTGATTATTTCATGGGATATTTTATGTCATCTTGATCACAAACCTTTTAATAGACATGAGACTATTTGATAGGGAAACAGACTAGAAGGCGGAGGTATTTACCCAAAGACAGGTGCCGAACACGAGCAAGGATCTGAAGCTCTGGCCCCTTGTTTTTTCCTCTTTGCCTGCATTCTAAGGCGGGGAAGGATGTGTGGTGTGTGAAGACTAGTGTTTCACAGAAGCCCTTCCAAGGTGCTAGAAACTGTGCTAGGTGCTTTCTGGAAACAAGCACAGATAATCCAGTCACTTTTCTAAGAGGGGTCACTTTTCTAAAATCCTTACTTTTCTTTTAAAGTGCTAGATACACAGAAAGTAAGGAAAAGGAACAATAGAGCCCAGAATTGGGATGGGAGAGACAGTACTGTGGGTAGAGAGCTTGACTTGTATGTGGTCATCCTGGGTTTGACCCTTAGCATCCCATATGGCCTCCTGAGCACTACCAGGAGTCATTCCCAGATGCAGAGCCAGGAGTAAGTTCTGAGCATATGCACAAGACCCCAAATCATCGAGCAAGTTAGCAGTTGAACTTGCCTGAACTTGAACAGAGTCAAGACTTATTTGACTTTAAAACCCCTGTGCTTTCCTGTGCATGGTGGTATTTTAAAAACAAAAATGTAATTAATATGTATTGAGTGCCTATTAATCGTCAGTTGCTTTGGTTATTTTAATTGCAGGTCTTGGCTCATCTAATGACAGCTAATGGAACATTGAGAAGAAATATATTCTATAAATAGCTCTAAAATGAATAGGTAAAGATCAGGGTACCTCGGGCTTAAAAGGGCAAGAGAAGCGTTAAAGACGCAAGAGAGATGGGAAAAGCTGACAGATAAAGGCAAGGGCTAGGCATTAGAGTTAAGACAAAAAAGATGAAAGTGGGGGAAGTTCATAATTGAATTTTTTTTAACCAATGTAATCAACTGCCCATGCCATCACTGTGAGTAGGACAAAGATTTGTAGCAGATCCTGGAGGTCCCTTTGTCACTGAGGCTTAGAAAGGACCCCATTGTAGAGCAAGTTGGAGAGGAGATCCTCAAGCCCCCTTCAACTCTAAGACCCCACTTTTTTTCTAGAAGTCAGTGTGATACCAGCTCAACCCAAGGTTAGTTCTTGTCTGTTGATATCATAAGCTCCAGAAAGTTTGGGTGTATGAACTCAAGAGTTTCCCTGAGTCTGAAATGTTCTGGAAAGAACCCTGGTCTCCCCAGATATCTTGAGAATGACATAGCTGAAGAGGACTCTAGGGCACCAGTGATTTGAGGTATGACTGAGGATTTGAGTTTGACTTAACTGGCTTAGTGGGATAGGACCTCTGCACAGTTGGATAACACCCGGCAGGGCTTTGCTTCCCCAAGAATCTTAACACTAAAATAACTGCACCCTGGATGGGGAGGATGGATGGATGGATGGATGGATGGATGGATGGATGGATGGATGGGTAGATGGACAGATGGACATATGGGTAGTCTATGGAGCAGTGCATCTTGGTGATTATTGCTTCCTGTCATATTGTCATAGTTTCATGTAATATTTTGACAAAATCTGGGTTTGTGAATGGAGCTGGCGTAGGGTTTATGTGCCCAAATCATATCCCTACATTAGGGCATGTCTTTGCACTTCACAGTACACAGTATTATTTCTTTTATATTTAAATCCAAGAGGACCTTCTTTAGTATAACCTACAAAGAAACTTGGAGTAGCTGGCAAGTTTCTCTGTTCCTCTTTACTCTCATGACAACCCCACTGCTTGTAGAACCAGGCTCCCAGAGGTTCCTAGCTGAAGATTGCTGCCTTGCCACAAAGATCTGCAATGGTGCAAGAGGCTTTGGTGAGGACAATATACCGGTGCTTTAAAAGGAGTGGTGAGGGGAGAAGGCGGAGTGTGTTTGGGAGCTAAGAGACAATGAGCATGTCCACAGAGAAACAAAATCATTGCAATAGAACACAGTCTAGTTCTCAAGGAAGTCACACTGGCCTCTGTAACAGTTTAATCCAGAAGAACAAGCAAAGGCTATTGAGATAGTACACTAGGCAGGGCACTTGCCTCGTATGCAGCTGACCGGGTTCAATACTTGGCACCGCAAATGGTTGCCTGAGCCCTGGAAGAAGTGATCCCTGAGGGCAGACAGAGCCAGAAGTAAGGCCTGAGCACAGCTGAATGTGACCCCCAAACAAAGAACAAACAGGAAAATAGAAAACACAGAAATAAAATGATGAAGGCTTATCACCAACATAAGAGCAACCTTCCTTTATTTAAGTTCCATGGAATGCTGCCTACACAGCTTAGGGCAAAACAAATTTTGCCTTATGACTTGGGAGTAAATGTTTTCTGATTTTGTTTTAAATTAATCACTTAACTGAACTTCCCGTTAGTCGGCGATTTGCTCGAGCGGGCGCCAGTAACGTCTCCATTTGTCCCTGTCGCGTGCTAGGGTAGCCCAATGGCATATGTTCGCTCTGGGATCATGAAGAGCCTCAAACCGATCATTCATGACCTTCACAAAGAAGTCTGACCATCTGGTAGGTGGGCAGCCACGTGGTCTTTTGACATCCCGTGGAATCCAGTCAGTAACAGCTCTAGTCCAGCGGTCGTCTTTAAATCTCATTACGTGACCAGCCCATCTGATTTTTGACACCTTGGCAAATGAGACAACGTCCCTGATTCTTGATCATCTACGGATGTCGGAACTCCGGATTTTTTCTCTCATTTGAGTGAAACGTGATATTCCAAGCATGGCTCTTTCTATTCTTCTTTGGGAGACCTGAGTAGCATTCTCATCCTGTTTGTGTAGGGCCCAGGTCTCTGAAGCATATGTTAATGCAGGAAGAACAGTGGAATCAAAGAGATGTGCCTAGAGCCGGAGGTTCTTCATCCTCTTAGCTATTTCTTTGACGCTCCTGAAGGCGTTCCAAGCCGCTCTCTTCCTCCTGTGCAGCTCGGGTGCCAGGTCATTTGTCATGTTGACTTCTCGACCTAGGTACACATAGCTATTGCATTCAGAGATGGTTGTTCCGTTGAGAGCGAATGGGGCATCAGGAACGAGGCTGTTTCTCATAAACATTGTCTTCGTAAGATTCAGCTGTAGTCCTACCTTTCCACACTCATGGTCAAAGTCGGCCAGCATTTGTGCCGCTTGGGTGATGTTTGGTGTTATTAAAACAATGTCATCAGCAAAGCTGAGGTGGTGTAATTGCCGACCATCTATCTTCACTCCCATTCCTTCCCATTCCAGTCGTCGCATGATGTTCTCGAGGGTTGCACTGAAGAGTTTCGGTGAAATGGTATCACCCTGCCGAACCCCTCTCCTGACATCAACGATCACTTCTTTGTAGAATGGTGAGATCCTGGTAGTGAATCCGCAATACAGCTCACGGAGGATCTTGGTGTATTGGGCTTGAATGCGCTGATTGGCTAGGGCTTCAATGACTGCTTCCATCTCAACAGAATCAAAGGCCTTCTTTAAATCAATGAACGTTAAACAGAGCGGCATCTTGAACTCCCAAGAAACCTCAATGAGCTTGGTTATCGTGTGGATATGGTCGATGGTGCTGAATCCTTTGCGGAACCCGGCTTGCTCGCATGGTTGTCCTTCATCTAGTGTTCTGCCAATCCTATTTAGGATGACTCAAGTGAACAACTTGTAGATGACAGACAATAGGCAGATCGGCGATAGTTGCCAATGTCATAGATGTCTCCCTTCTTGAACAGTAGTACGGTCCTGCTGGTTTTCCACTGGGACGGAACCTTGCATTCAGACAGGTAGCGAGTGAAGAGCCAAGCCAGTGTATTGATGAGTACTGACGGCAGGTTCTTCAGGTGTTCAGGTCTGACCTTGTCTGGGCCGGGTGCTGTTTGTTTCTTTACCAACGAAATGGCGTGTCGGATTTCGGAAGGGAGAACATTGGGAACGACATATCCTTCCTGTGGAATTTGGTATGTCGGCAAGTGGACATGGCTATTGAAGAGATTTGAGTAGAAGTCATGGATAATCTTCTCCATTGCCGTTCTGGAGGATGTGATGGATCCATCAGGACGTCAGAGGGCAGTCATCTTGGTCTTGTAGTTGGCGAAGCGTAATGAATACTTTTCCCAGCTTCTGCCGCATCTACCAGTACTTCTGCTCTTCTCACCTTGAGGTCTTCCTTGATCGCATCTCTGCACTGCTTTGCGAGCTCGGACGTTAGCTTGCGGTTGCCTAAGGCATGCGCCAAACCACGCTGGCGAATTAGCTCAAGAGTTTTCGAAGACAGGCGTTTTTTTGTGGCTATCTCTCTTTTGGAGTTCCTCGCACATTCATGGAGGTGCTGAACCAGTCGATTGTATTCCTCGTCAATGTTGTCAACAATGGCATCTTCCCATGTTGCCGCAATAGTGCCAAAGAGTTCCCAGTTGGTGGTTGTTCTGGGAGTTCTCTTTTTGAACTTTGCAGCCCTTTCTCCCCGCTCTGTGAAGTAGAATTTTGCACGAAGGAGACGGTGGTCCGATCCCGTTCGAAATTTTGGGACAACAGCGACATCGGTCAGGCAAAACCGTCGATTGAATATGATGTGGTCTATTTCGTTGTGGAATCGTCCACTGGGAGACTCCCATGTCCAATGTTTAGATTCTGCCTTCTGGAACTGTGAGTTACCATGGATGGTCCTGGTCGACATGATGAACTCAGATAGTCTCTCACCCTGTTCGTTCCATTCTAGGCCATGGGTCCTGATGTGAAGTTCTTCAGCGGATCTTCTCGGTCCTATCTTGGCATTAAAATCACCCACAATGATCTTGTAGAAGGTGTGGTCTTCTTTATAGAACTTCTCCAGCTCCATGTAGAACTTCTCGATTTCTCTTTCATCATAATGAGATGTTGGTGCGTAGACAAGGAAGATAGAAACTGCAGGCAGTGAGCCACATCTATTCAAATGTAAACGTCCGATTCGGGTTGTTAGGCATTCGAATGAATCAATGCTCTTGGCCAAGTTTGTGTTGACAAGGACGCCGATGCCTCCGACACCTCTTTTATCGCATGTTCTGAGGAACAATTCTTCTCCAGTGTCGAAAACGGCATGGTGAGATTCGTGCCTTCTTGTCTCGGTCAGACCAATGATGTTGTACTTGATCATTCATTTTCAATTATAATAATAAGTT